GCCCGACAATCATGGACAGGCACCACCGGTTCCTGCCGAACCGGCAGCAGGACCTGCACCACCAGCTCCTGCTGAGCAAGCAGCACCACCACCCGAGGCGCCAGCCGCATCACCACTCACGCGGCTAAGAGCTCCAAGACCCGGCTCAAGAGCTGGACCTACAGCGGGCGCGAGCAGTCACGACATTATTGTAGGCAGACATGCTGCTGAACCTGCTGCAGGGCAACCTGCATCGAGTGGAGCTGGTAGTTCGGGTGACCATCTCCGACGACCACAGGTTAGAGTCAGACGTGGCCGACAGCAAGGTGGAGAAGCACCTCCTCCACCACCAGCGGGTATCCCTGCTGCGCGACCACGATTGCCAGACTTGTCACAGCTTCACGTACAAATCAGTATACAAAATTTACACCGCCTTGACCCAAGCGTGGTAACGCGCGAGCTGCGGAAGTTACACTTGCGCTGGTTCCATGCGAAAGAGACTAAGAAGAGACTCGTCTTAAGTAAGATGGTCTGGACAGTGTCAGACTCAGCCTGGTAAAAGGCATCTGCGACACATGTCGGGAGTGCAGAGATTGGGACACATACTGGTATGCCCTCCACTGCACTGCCTGCCAAATTAAATGAAGAAATTAAATGAAGAAGTGGAATGTGATCTGATGTTTTACAAACAAGAGCACACAATCTTCCATATTATCGATCGTTGTTTACGCTGTGCTACTGGGATTGAGATACCAGACAGTACTATGACAAGTATTCTGGATGCATATCATCAGTGCTGGATGCAGTTTGGACCTGCGAAGGTATTCTATTCCGACGGAGAGGGTGCCCTTGACAACGACATTGCGAAAGCAGTCTTTAAGGCAAAAGGCATTGATTTTAGGACACTTGCGCGTGGACAACACGCCGCGACGATCGAATCCAGAAATGGCACCCTGCGCCATCTATTTCACGTCGTGGAAGTTGAATTCAATAGGTCGGACATAATTCTTGTGCTCACACGGCAACTGCGCGAGGCTTTGTTCGCCGCCGACGCGTTCACCTTCTATAACGAGGTGTCTTCGTATAGCGCTCTGTCTGCACGTCAACCAGCAATGCTTCCTGACTTACCTGTCCTGGACCACGAGCAGTCGACGGAAAGATCGGACCATCCTCGTGAACAGACGATACGCAGGGTATGTCTTGAAGCTATCACACAGGCCACAGCAGCAGCTAAGACCAATCGTGCCTTACGCACTAAGACAATTATTATTGGTCAGCACTATTACGATGAAGGAGACTGGGTCGATTATCATCGCCCCACGACCACGAAGGATGACTGGGGAGGTTGGAACGGCCCATTCCCAGCTGTAAAGAATGCTCCCGAACGAGGTCAAGTCATCATCCGAGTGGGCAACCGAGCTGGTCAAGTACAATACGGCGATGCAAGACATTCACTATATATTGAAGCACTGATAGCCCGAGAGATTGGCTCCGACAGCACAGCACTACGCACAGTGCTGACGTTCGTGGCCAGTTTATGAGCGGGGAGACCTGCTCTGACCTTTGGCTATGTGCCGACCAAGAAAGGGGCGCTTCATATGACGAGCGCAAGCCGTCTATCTCCTAGGGTACATTTAGCTCTACAGTGCCTTATCAGAAACTTCTTCCGTATTGAGAATGTAGTTGCAGTCAGGCTAGCTAAGAGCATGCATAAGCGACCTCGGGTTACTTCTGCTGACAGCTGCACATTGGTCCACTATGACAACGACGTGAATCCAGGATTTCACATTTATGAAGCAGAAGGTATTGCATTGAATATACACGACATAACTGGATCAGCACATTCGAGAATCATCCAATGCCTGAAGTCCACTAAACCTCAAGCAGGTTTTGATCAGGGCACCACAAGATTTGAGGAAGTGGCGGATACACCGACACCGGAGGGAACCACAAGAGAAGCCTCAGAAGCCGAACCACCACATGATGATGGGCGGTTTTCTACGATCTACGAAGAATCAGAGGCCGATCTCGAGTCACATGTTATGGAAGTGCGGTCGGCAGAACTACAAACTGAAAGGGAACTGCTGGAGGCAACTCCACCAGAGGACCTCTTTACCATGCCTACACAGATGGTTCCAGATCAAAGTGCGCTGATCACTGTAGCCGATGAGCAGCGAGGACACCTGCCGAACTGGGGGCGCACTCACGATTCCGACACCGAGGAGGCGTACTACGTCTTAATACGTACCATGGTCGAAGACGACAACTACGGACTGGACTCAACTCTGCGTTGCGGCAGAAAGTCAAAGGTCGTCTTGTCCGAACAACAACACATGATACTAGATGCTCACCGTGTGACCACTATGCGAGTAAACGTAGCCGCCGCTGCCAAGCGAGCTGCGGTCGTCAAGGAAGACGACCTCCTCGCGAAAGCTGACAGCCAGGCGAATCCCGATAAAGTATCGAAGGCCCTTTACACTGAACTCCAGACATGGTTCGACAACATGTTTCAAGATGCCAGATATAGCTACAGCGTCGAACAGCATGACTTCGAGATGCGTGCACGCATGGAAGCTCGCGGAGAAAGAGGGGCGAGATGGGGCGCACCATCAGATTACGCCTGGTACTCCGAAGCTTCATGGACCATGAAGCCTTCGACGTAGAAACCTTCTTGGGAACAGCGCGACGGTCAAGCCAGAGGCTACTCGCCAGCACGGCAGGGTGCAAGAAGCAATGGCTCATTGCTTCCCTCGACATCAACGTGGCCTTCCTGAAGGGGTTAACCTATCAGGAGCTTGCTGAGGCTACTGGTGAGAAGGAACGCGTGGCGTGATTTACTCTGCCGCCTGGATCGGCCACAGTGCTTCAGACGCCTCCAGGATTCGAACACTACGACGAGTCAAAGCACTGCCTGCAGTGCATGAAACCAGGCGCGGGCACCAAAGACGCACCGCGGGCTTTCTCGCTAAAACTCAGAAGGGCCACCAGAGGCTTTGGTCTCCGACCCGCGTCCTACGACGAGGAGTTCGAGACGAGCAACAACCAGCTCACGGCCAAACACGTTGATATCAATATGGCTGGTACTGAGGACACCATCGACAAGTATGTCAAGTACGTAGAAGACACCTGTGGTAAGTGTGAGCTCAACAAGCAGACATGCACCGACTGTGCTGTGATTTACACCAAGGATGGGGGAGGCATTGTCACTTTGGACCAAGATGGATACATCAAACAGCTCCGTCCTATACAACATCCTGATCTTACCGGCGCCGACGCTGACGCTCAGGCATCCAAGATGGTTGCAGACGTGTTCGTCAGCCTCAGTGGCGTGCTGGCGCATGGATTAATCACCCAGGTGTGGTTGATGGTGTATGTTCTATCTCTACAACGTGTCCAAGAACCGACCAATATCAAAGTGCGACGACTGAACGCGATCACCAGGAAAGTGCAGGCCTGCCAAAAGAAGATCGTCTACCAGGATGACTCCTACGGGCGAGGTCGACCTGCACAGCGACTCAGGATACCGACGCCTGTGTGGCTACGCCGACGACGACGTCAAAGGCTATGGTACTCGCGGGGCTAATCTGCTACGACGTGGAAACACGTCATCCGGTAAACATGTCGTTCACTTGATCGATGCGCGCTGCAAGTCTCACCGCTTGCATGTCCGCTCGGGCTATTCAGCAGAGGCACTAGCAGCGGCCCATAATTTGGAGGACTGACATCCCACGATTGTCACTCTGCACGAGCTCCACGCAGGGCCGCTCACGCCCATTCAGTTGAAAGATATACTTGAGTTGGGTGGCCTGAGCATCAAGGTCACTTTGGCCATAGATGCTGCTTTTGTTTTTAAGTCCGTGTCAAGCAAAGACTTGAAGAAACCGACTGCGCGCACCCTTCTAGGACACACCAGTTGGATACGACAGATGATGGAGCGTGGAATCGTGCACAGCATCCAGTGGTGCGACACCCGCGATATGACCGCGGATGGTCACACCAAGGGGAGCATCGACAGAGAAATGTTCCTACAAGTCATGGGAGGCATACAGGCCTTCAAACATGACCTGAAGAGTCATACTACAGATCGGGCCGGCCAGACATCCAGTTCTGACGCCGCCTGAGGAGTACTCCAAGTACAGAACGGTACAAGCAAGGCAACTTGCGAGCGGGTCCACCTTCCTTCTGGCCCGCCCCTTTTTCTGTCCTTGTGTATATTAGCTGCTGCGCCTGCTTTATAGGGGCGACGGGCTCACGCTTCGTCTCCCTCCCCCCCGACTCTAAAGCGAACTGAGGGACGCAAGGGGCGGAAGCGAGCGTGCGCCCGCGGCCGCGTCGGCTCAAGCGGCCGGCCGCCCAAATATGACTGTGCCTCACCGCGAGGCACACAATCGCTATCGAGACCGAAAGGACGTTCCGTTTGCTTAAGATGGCACATCCTCTCCTACTGGGACTATCGTTACTACGGTACAACAGAGCTGGAGCTTGGCTTCGCCTAAGGCGAAGCTGCTGGCTGGGCCTACCAGCCCCCTTCAAACTGTGGGACCCTGCTGCTGCCCCGACTTGGATTTCGGAACATTGTCCTGGGCACGGCCCTTGGGCTTGGATACGCATGTGGTACACACCACTGGTGCCTTAGGTGGACCTCCCTATGGGGCCACGAAACGCTGTCCTGGGTGGGGGGACGCATGTGGTACACACCGCTGGGGCCATAGGTGGACCTCCTTATGGGGCCACGAAGCGCTGTCTTGGGTTGGGGAGACGCATGTGGTACACACCACTGGGGCCTTAGGTGGACCTCTCTATGGGGCCACGAAGCGCCGTGCTGGGTGTGGCGGGCGCATGTGGTACACCCCACTGGGGGCGGGGGGGGGCACGGGAGAGGAGGGGAGGAGGGAGGAGGAGGAGGAGGAGGAGGAGGAGGAGGAGGAGGAGGAGGAGGAGGAGACGCGGGGACCGTTTTTTCGAAACGAGGACCCAACAACACAGGTTGGTTGGGGAACAAATAGTCCAGGGACAATGTTTGAAACATTCGTTGACCAGTATGGAGAGTTCTTTAATTTTTCGCCGGAAATCCCCCCTGTAGGGAGACACGCCCGATTTGAGTGTACGCAGGCACCGCGCGCACGCATGGCGTGCAAGCCCTGCCTGGCCCGCCTCTTGCCGCGGCGGCCGCAGGCAGCGGTGGGTCCGTCTGGTTCGGGCACATTTTGACTCTGGAGGCCCGACATGCGTACGGAAAGAATTGGTGCGATGCCCAACAGCAGTTCCTGTTCGTGTTGAACAGGACTCGCTGCCCGCGCCGCCGCGGCCTGTGTCCATTTGAAACAGAAGGCCGCCCGCCCAACAGCGGCCGCTGCTGGTTTGGGATAGCACTTGCTGTTGGGCATTGTACCCTCTCCTCCTCCTCCTCCTCCTCCTCCTCCTCCTCCTCCTCCTCCTCCTCCTCCTCCTCCTCCTCCTCCTCCTCCCTCCTCTCTCCCCGCCGGCGCTGATACGTTTTAGGGCTGATTCGCATCGTTTCTGGCTCTTTTCCTGACGCCCGCGGTGGACATATGGACGAGTGGATCGGCGGGGCGTTCGTCGTGCAAAAAAAAATCCGTACCCATTTCGGGCGTCCAAATTGACGGCCCCCCCGTCGCGGGCCCCCGCCCCCGAGGAGCACCCTCGGAACGCCGCGGCCTCGGGGGGCCCCGGCTTGGCAGCCCCGTCGGCCTCCCCCGACGCGGGGCGCGGCTTCTCCGCACCCCTCTGCCGAGCGGCGCGGGCCCTCGGTCCTCCCCTCCCCCCCCCCCTTCTCCTCCCCCTCCCCCCCGCCCCCCCCCTTTTCCTCCCCCTCCCCCCCCCTCCCCCCCCCCCCCGCCCCTCCCCCCCTCTCCCCCCAGTGAGATTTCGTGTTCCCTCTTGGCTAAGATCAAGTGTAGTATCTGTTGTATGATTAGTAGCATGCAGGCAGGCTTAGTTGTAAGAGGATATTCGACCGTGATCGCATGAATGCTCAAGGATGCGGGTTCGCTAGCTACAAACATTTCAGTTTGGTAGCGGAGCTACGGCTCCCTACCCTCCACGCGCGGCCCCCCGCGCGCGCCGGCGCCCCCAGGCGCCGCCATCGAGGAACGAGTTCCTCGGCCTCGCGCTCCCGCAGCGCGACTCCGTGTACGACTACATCGGGTTCTACACCTACGAGGTGAACGACACCCACAGGTTTCTCGTCACCCGCGAGGTGACCCCTCTCGACCTCCTCAGCGCGGAGATCAGCATCTTCTAGGCTGGGAGGTTAATACCATTACCGGGTCCGCTGGGCCGACGAGTATCGCGAAGCATCTTTGAGCATAGATATTGATCGAGTTTCTTGTCAGAAGCATGGGAGACTACAAGACGCCAGCATCACTGCAGGAGTTCACTCGGTTCGTGCCGCCAGGATGGAAGCCGTTCGACGACGCATATCCGTTCAAGGCCTACATGCAGAGACTTCATCTATGGTGGCGGCTGACTCCGCTGGACGAACGTGAGGCTGGACCATCCATGGCGGCGAGATTGTTGGATCGAGCATTCACTGTCGCGATGAACTTGGAGATCACACGAGATGGAGTGAAGCACACAGGTGACGCAGCCCTCTCACTTCCCCGGCAATCAGAAGAGCGAGACGCCAACGGGAACATCACACAGCAAGCCGACATAAGTGGAGCTGGTCACCTGATGCAGAAGTTGACTGAGGCGTTCGAGATTCACGATCAGGACAAGCAGGGCGAGTACAGTACCTTGACAAATTCCTGGACACGAGGCGTGGCAATCAGACGTTGCAAGAGTTTCTTTTGAGTTTTCGTGAGAGATATACCGAGGCGAATGACAAGGCGGACTTGACGATCAGCAATGTTGGACTGACGCACATGTTGTTCAAATGGTGTGGTTTGCCTGTCAGGCGCATCGCAGACATTAAACTTCACATCGACGGAGATCTGGAGCAGTTTCAGACGGTGTATTCAATGTTAACAAGGATTGCCAAGCAGGAGATGGCATCAGGCAGTGGACACGCACATCACTACATGGACGATGACCAAGTTTCGGACCATGTCGTGGATTACTACCAGGACTACGACGACGAAGGAGTAGAGTTGATAGATTGGACACATGACGAGGAGAGCGGCCTACACTATCGCGAGTACTGGACTGAGACTGGCGAGGCGACCTACGGAGCTTACGACGACAACGGCATCTGGTACGAGGCCAACGACATCGAGGCGTGGCTCGACGAGCAGGAGTTGGATCAGGCGTACCAGATGAACGGTTTCAGGAGACGTTTCCGTTTCGGCGGCTTTCGACGGAAAGGTAAAGGCAAGAGTGGCAAAGGCAAAGGAGGACGCGGTCGCAGCAAATCTCGTGGTCGTGGCTTTGGACACGGAAAGGACGGTGGTACAAGAGCAACCACTACGAGGAGCCGACGGACCAGAGCATGTGGGGCGACAGGAAAGGTGGCAAGAAGTACGGTAAGCACAACACTCAGGACAGCAACAAAGGTAGCGGATGTAGCACTTGCGGTTCGAAGTGGCACAAGAGCACAGGCTGTCCGGCCAACCGTCATCAACCTGGACAAGCCCATCAGCAATCTGGTCAAGGGTTCTCGACGGTCTCTTTTCACGCTGGAGTATCAGGCAACGACCCGAGGATTAACCTGGCCGCGTACGATGACCTACCCTTGCGACAGTCAGCGCCATCGGTCTCATCACACAGTACTGGTTCCTGGGACTTGCCAACATCGCCATCGCCATATGCGCCAGAATCACCAGTGGACGCTTCCGTGTATCACGATTGCCCCGAATACAAGCTGGACCAGGACGACGACGCGAATGACTATGAGTATTCAGGCACCTCTTATGGCGAGCCGGCTGCAGATCGTGATGTGATGGATGGAGTCTGTGATGACGACGAAGCTGAGGAGCATTACGGATATCCCTACAGCCGATTTCGCAAAGGTCAAAAGGGCAAGAAGGGAAAAGGCAAGCAGAAGACGGAGCACCAGCCCAAGACATCTCTCCTGGAGACTATCTCCGAGACGCCCTTTCGCCAAGATCGACCGGCTGCTTCAGATATATTTGGTACCTCAGCCCGCGCTCCGGCTCAGGCATCACGATCAACCAGGACACCATCGACATCGGCGACGCGAGCATTCGACTTTCCTCAGCGTGAGAGTGTACCTGTCGACACAGAGAGATCAGAAGCAGAAGCTGGCCAACCGACATCACCTCGACCTACGACCAGCACCTCAAGCACGTCTCAAATGACTGGGTCTCCTACCAAGGGCTCGTTCGCGGACATCATGCACACGTCATTCCTCAGCAATCACATCTTTCACGAGGAGGATGGCCCGACGAACGACGGCTCTGTGGCATATCACTCAGTGCGTGGAGATAAGAGACTCGGCATCATCATTGATCCAGGAGCGGCAAAAGGTCTTGGAGGCACCGAGACGTTGCGTGAAGTATGTCAGGCACTTCTGTGGCCACGAGGCCAGAAGTTGGAGGTGAAGTCTTCTTCGGCCAAGCTGTCAGGCATCGATGGAGTTCCGAATCCATCACTGGGTTTGGGCAAGTTACCGTTGAACCTGGACGCGCTGCCCAACTCGAGTTTCACGATGGATATGCTCGGTGGCAGCGGCAGTCGATGCCCTCTTCTGATGCCTTTGGAGACGATGATCAATAACACCATGGGCCTTCTCACCGGCATCCTACCAAATCGAGACGGAGTCCTTATCATCAACACCTTGGACGGCCTCGGGAACAAGGTGAGGCCGACCTGCTACGTGAGGGCTCTCTACACGGACTCCGGCCACTACCTGTTTCCGATCGACGACCCGCAGGCTGGCACTGGTCGCGAGCGAGATCGACTCAAGCAGGCGGTGAAGGCTTACATGGCGAAAGTTTTAGATGAGGACACACCCAAGAGCACCACGACAGTTTTGGATACGGTACTGATGGCAAACACAGACAAGGACGACAAGCAGATCGAGGCCCATCAGTCACTGGACACCGGCATCTATGTACCTGACTCGCATGGTGGCATGCACAGCGGGAAGAAGGAGACGCTTGCCTTGTCCAATACATTGGACGCCGGCAGCTATGTACCTGACTCGCAACAAGGTGGCATGCCCAGCGGGAAGAAGGAGACGATTGCCTTGTCCAGGACTGGAGCAACGGAGCTGGATGCAACCAAGAACGAAGAAGCACAGACCTCAGAGAGTAGAATGAGAGTGAGATCGGAGGTCTACAATGCCATCAGCACCAACACCGACACGATCTACTTGGACAGCAAGGATTACTACAGAAGGTGGCGAACTTTCAAAGCATCAAGATGGACTGGTGTCAACATGTGGCCCAAGAAGATGGACACTAACAAAGCCAAGCAGCTCGACACGGGCTATCGGGCCATGCCGGAGGAGTTCTACTTCGAGAGTCAACTACCTGTTGTGACACCCGAGAACCTGGAGAGCTGGATGGAGCACATGAGCATCTTCCATGTGGACGTACAGGAGCGCATGTCCGGCAGCAGCAGGTTCTCTCGGCGAGCATCACTGCAGGGTCTCATGGTTGGCTTTCCTGTGGACTATCGATATGGCTGGGACATGTCTGACAAGCACCACCAGAGGTTGCTGAGCACTTTTCGCGGCAAATGCCACATCGGCACAACCTTGTGGGCACCTACCTGTCAGCCATGGTCCATTGCCAGCAGACACAAGGATCCGGCTGCTCTGGAAAGCGAGAGAAGATCACAGGCACCAGCTATCATCTTCATGCTGAATGATATCAAACAGACAGCGGACACCGAGCAGCAGCATATCGTTGAGAATCCACACAACAGCGATTTCTGGAGCAAGTCTGACTACACAGGCGTGGTCGACATGAACATCGTGAGGAGCTACGCGGCAGACCAGTGCTCATTCGGTGCGACCAACGAGCTCGGTGAACCAATTCGGAAACGGACACGACTGGATTCTACATTTTCCCTGAGAGCGAGCACGCGACATTGCAGATGCAAGGTGCCTCACGGACACTTGACTGGCGCAGTCGACGGCATCAAGCGCACAGCCAAGGCGGCAGTCTATCCAAAGAATTTCTGTGATGCCATTGTGAAGGACATCATCAGGGTCGTGAGGCACCAGATTCACTGGGGGTGCGAGAGGTGCCGGCTCGGCAACAAGACGGACGCAGATCACACTCGCAAGCCGGGCAACTGCAGGATGGCACCGCGCAAGGCTGCTCCCCGGGCACCTAAGGCACCGCAGTATACAGATGATGAAGATCAACAGGCACCAGCAGCACCAAAGGCAGAAGATGATGAGGCTCCTGAGATCGCACCCGATGACGACGAAGTGAAGCAGGAGCCCAAAGAGCACGACGAAGTGAAACATGAGCCCCAAGAGCAGGACGAAGTGAAACATGAGCCCCAAGAGCAGGACGAAGTGAAGCAGGAGCCCCAAGAGCACGACGAAGACGAGCCAGCTATGCATCCTCTTGACGAAGCACCGCCAGGAGAAGAACCTCAACCTGTACCGGGAGCTCCGGGTGTTGAGGTACCTCCTCCACCTCATCCTGATCCTTCTCAGGGAAGGCCGGCCAGAAAGCGGATCACGAGCAAGCAAAGGGTGGAGGAGCCAGGGATTGCTATGAAGAAGTGGTACGACGTCAAGCCCAACTTCGATCTCAGCAAGATGGTCTCTCGCCTGAAGGAGGCTACCGACAAGAAGGAGATCTTACGGTTGTTGCTGGGTTTTCACATCAGGTTCCGGCACGCGCCCGTGCCGGACATGGTGATATTCCTCAAGAGTGCAGAGTGCTGGAACAAGACGCTGGCCGCAGTTATCACAATGGTCTGTCTGGCCTGTTCTGTGCGCAGGGACTTGGCCAGACCTTTCACAAAACCACGAGCTGGAATCACAGTACCACTACGCTTCAACCACAGAGTTCAGCTAGACTTGTTTTTCATGTGGGACAAGGTGTGGCTTCTGGTCATAGACGAACTATCCAGATACAAAGTGGCGGACATCGTCGCAGATCGCACGCCCAAGGAGCTACTGACTACTTTGATGAGGTCATGGATCAGATATTTCGGGCCCGTGCAGATCATGGTTCTGGACCAGGAAGGCGGCCTCGTCTCAGAACTTTCTTCCAGGACGTGCGACAAGCTGAACATCAAGCGACGATATGCCGGCACCGACGACCACACAATGACTGGTCTGGTGGAACGTTGGATTCAGCTGGTTCGGCTCTGTGCCATGAAGCTCAAGCGCACTTGCACCACGCAGGGATTCGAGGTCTCGGACACGGACTTAGTTCAGGAGGCGGCCATGGTCTCCAACAGTATGGTCAGCTATGGAGGTCAGACGGCGACGCAAGTGGTCTTAGGCTTCACACCCAACGACTACTACGACCTCGAGGCCACCACGCTGGACTCCGCGCAGAGCGCCGACGTGAGCTGCCCTGATCCGTTCGAGGCAGCTGTCAGGCTTCGTCTCCTTGCGAAGTCAGAGATGGCACGAGCGATCGTTGAGGACAGAGTTGCACGAGCTAACAGGACACGCGTTCAACAACACGGACCCGAACAGGAGCTGAAGGTCGGAGAGTCCGTCGACATCTACAGAGTACCAGACCGCAAAGATCAGCCAGGTTGGCGCGGCCCGGCTGAGCTCGTCAAGATCTCGGAGGGCACGGCAATAGTTGTCTGGAACGGAGTACCCTACATCCTGCCGGTGCGGTACCTCAGGAGACACTTGGTCGGCTTCCTAACTTATCAGGCAACCAACATCTCCGAGCTCAAGACGGGCGACCAGCAGATGCTCAACACCCTGGGCAGGCTGATGGACATCGTGGACGGCAGCATCTATGGACAGGTGACACGGCTCGGCAGGACAATCACACAGGATGGTCAGGTCAAGTGCTCATTTGATGCCAAGACACTGGTAAATCTTCAGCCCTGGAAGTTGAGCATGATGACGTACAGAACGATATTTCACCTAAAAGGTTTGGACGGCATCTTGTACGGCACGTCACTACGCAGGGTACCACCACTACATGCAGTTCGGTTCGGCTTACTTGTCTTGTGGGAACGAAAGGATCGCTCCAACTACATGACCTACGAGATCGACCCGAGCAAGGGCGTGACAGTTGGCAGTCTGGTAAGTTTCAAGTGGGAGAATACCTCGTTCATGATGTACTATTCGATACCATCACAGTTGGACCCCTTCCTGGACGAGCACCACTTGCCAGACATGAATGACCTGTCTCGCATCGAGCCAGTACTCGACGTGAACCGTGACGTTCATGACATGATAAGTTTGCTTCCCGACTTGGACGACTGGATGGATCAGGACGTCATGGCCGACACACAGCCAGTGGAGAAGAGTCAACTGGATCAGGCCACAGTCGACAATCCTGGAGCAACACAGCCGTTGGCATCACAACAAGAGGCACAACCTCGTCAGAGTGAAGGTGTCATTGTTGCTCCACCTGTGGAACCAGTTGTACAACCCTGGCGACCTGTACGCTCTGGAAGCGCAATTGCAACACCGGCATCTACAGCACCACAGTCGAGACCAATACAGACGGCCTCGACACCATCAGTTGCTCATCCTTTTCCTCCAGTTGTCGGGAATGAAGGTATACAAAGGACATCACTTCCTGTTGGAGATCTGGATGCGAGCATGGATTTATCACGGGACCTCAGCAGGATCATGGAGGAGACAGAACAGATGGACATATCTCGAGAACTGAGCAAAGTGATTGACCAGAACCCGATCAGGACTACAGCGACTCCGACACCAGGCACATCATCAACATCGGGCATGAGACCTCAAGTCCAAACAGAAGCTCATACTAACCCAGTTGGGCCACCGACGATCTTGAGGCCAGGGATTACTGACACTGCGGCGGCACCTCCTCCAGCTTCCGCTGATGTGCAGATGGTCCCATATGTACCTATCGCGACATCGACATCAGGTCAATCACCTACATCGGACATACCACGACGAGTTCGACTGGACGATCGCGAGGAACGTGTGAGCCCCACTGGACCGCCTACGACATTGGCACCTGGTACGTCGCCAACGGCAGAGGAGACTCCACCTACTGTGTTGGAACCCGGGCAGGCTCACGATCTCGACCTCGCGAAGGAATTGAGTGACCTCATTCAGGCAGACATTGACGATGAAAACAGCATGCTCGTACCGCGGATGGAGACCGCGACAGACGGGCAAGATTTGGAGAGGACGACCCACGACAAACGATATCATGACGACATGGAGCAAGCCAGCACGATGAGTTTGCAGCAGAGGCATCCACGGCGGCGGACAGATGATCATGATGAAGGCACACCTGCACCAGGAGATAGACCTCATCTCGATCAAGCAGATCAGCCAGTACAGGTGGAAGCTTCACAACCTCAGGAGCTGGACCTCACCGGAGAGATGGAGAACATCTTGGACCAGACAGCAGAAGATGGTCAGGACACTGGCGCTGTACCACTCATGGACGGAGAACGAGATCTCTTCGCTCGTCACAACACGACGAACAGCGTCATCAACTGGCAGTCTGGCGAAGCAGAGACGGTCAATCAGCTGAAGGAGTCCTACATTGACGACTCCCTCTCGCACATCCTCGAGAGCCACAGTGAGGCGCAGTCATACCTCTCTAGTATCCAGATGAGCGACCTGCCATGGAACTCCAAGGAGGCTTTGTGGAGTATTCGAGGACCATGGCGCCAGGATACTTGTTTTCTGTTCTGCATGCGCACTGGTGAGGTGCAGTCCCATGTCGGCGTGAAGGAGTCTGACAACCTGAGTGAGGAGGACGTTCTGACCCACTGGCAGTTAGTAGAAGAGGCTGACTCGAAGGAGCTGCAGGCCTTTGTTGATCACAAGGTTTTCGCGTGCAAGGCACGGCGCACGATGGGCAGCAGCAACGCCATCGACGCGACATGGGTCAGGAAGTGGAAGTATGATGCGAAACGCAAGGAGTGGATCATCAAGAGCCGGCTGTGCGGACGAGGTTTCCTCGACAAGCAGAAGCACGAGATCCAGCGCCACTCGAGCACCGCCAGCAGGTTGAGTCAGAAGCTGATCGTCTCGACCGCGCAGGTGCACGAGGGTTTCGAGCTCGAGAGCTGGGACATCAGCACGGCTTTCTTGCAAGGGCTGAGCTTCGATGAGATCAGACGTCGTTCGAAGGAGCTCAAGATCAACTGCGAGACGGTGCGCAAGGTGTTCCTGGCACCTCCGGCTAACGTTTGGCGACTGCTGGACAGCCTGCCGAACAGTGGCATCCACGTGAAGGAGTGGGACCTCGACCTATTTGTTTTGGAGCTGCTGAAGCCGATGTACGGCCTGGTCGACGCACCACACTTGTGGCAGGTGGCGCTCACTCTTTTCTTGGTGGATGTGCTTCATGCGAGGGTAAGTCTTTGGGACGAGAACTTCGTCTACTGGACCTACCGCGATCTGCCGGCTGAAGTTCGTGACAGAGTTCAAGAAGCACGCTCCATTGATGACGTCGCAGCGGCACTGTCCATTCATGTTGACGACCTCTTGTCAGCTGGACGCTCTCAACACTTGGAGTATCTGAGGAAGTTGCTGGAAGGCAAGTTCGGAGCGGTGAAGAGACAGCAGCTGCCATTCACACACAATGGGGCACAATATATGAGACTGAAGGACGGCACGATATTGCTTCAACAAGTTGATCACCTGAGCAAGATACCTTTCTGCCAAGTACCCGATGGAGCTGATGACAAAATGGTGACAGGAGTGTTTGCTCATGGGTTCCGAAGCATACTTACATCGATGCTGTTCCTCTGTCAGTGCAACCTTCACATCATGACGGAGGTGACTCAGCTGCAAGGTTTCAACAACGAGCCCAGGATCATGCACCTCAAAAGGGCCAATGCCTTACTCAAGCGAGCTCAAGGAGATACGACATTGGTGGGCTCGCACTATCCTATGCTGAGTCCTCCGTTCTGTCTTCGAGCTGTTGGCGATGCGAACCACACTACTAAGTCTTCAGTGTACCCTCAGGAAGGACAGTTCGCGTTGCTGATGGAGGACAAGGAATTGAAGGTTGACGAGGCTCATTTGCTGTTGGACGCATCGGCTCTGACTGGCAGATGTCACGTACTTATGGCGATAAGCAGCAAGGCCAAGAAGGTTGCGCATTCGACTTCGATGGGCGAGACCAATTGTGGATTGGCAGTGGTATCAGGAGCTCAGATGGTGGCCATGCGACTTTCAGAGATGCACCTGGCTCTGAGTTGTACCACGAAGCAGATGATTTCCGTTCTCATCGAGATGAACAACACTGGCCAGTACGTAGTTGCGATTGACCACTTGACGGACTGCAAGGACATGTTCGAGCTGGTGACAGGCTTGAAAGGAGTACCTCAGGACCGTCAGCAGAGGCTGGCCATCATGGCCTTGAGAGAAGAAAGGATGACAGGACGAGTGCGAAATACATTGCACATTCCCACGGACGTGATGCTGAGTGACGCCTTGACGAAACCTGGAACATTTCCTCAGCTCATGTATCTACTCACAACCGGCATCGCCAAGTTTCATGGAAGCAAGAAACCGATAACCTGCAAGCGTATGTTACATCGACCTGGAGTTTTCTCAGAGTCTGACTTGGAGAGTATCCAGAGGTTCGACTAGATTGGCTGCACGAGCATCACAAGGGAGAGTATTTTCAGATTTATCACTCTCTATGGTTTCTGGATTACTGTACTATTTCGTGAACTTCAGCACCGTGCTGGAGAACATTTCCGACATCAATGTAGCGTGTGGAAGGCGCCGCTCGGGCTGCCTCAATATTTGCACAGTTTTCCTAGAGAGTAGAATGAGAGTGAGATTTCGTGTTCCCTCTTGGCTAAGATCAAGTGTAGTATCTGTTGTATGATTAGTAGCATGCAGGCAGGCTTAGTTGTAAGAGGATATTCGACCGTGATCGCATGAATGCTCACGGATGCGGGTTCGCTAGCTACAAACATTTCAGTCCCCCCCCCCTCCTCCTCCCCCCTCTGCCTCCCCTCCCCCCCCTCCCCCCTTTTCCTCCCCTCCCCCCCTCCCCCCCTCCCCCCTCCCCCCCTTCTCCTCCCCCTCCCCCCCTCCCCCCCTCCACAATTATTCAATATGAATACTATTCTCCCTCTTCCCCTGATGACGGTTTGAAAGTGCTCGACCCCCCCCGCGCATTGTGTTTTTTACACAGGTTTCCCCGGAGTTGGGTTTTCGCCTGCATTGTTTTCAAAATGCTGCTCTCGCTGAGGCGCCGGCCTCATTTTCGGGCCCCGCTCGTTCCGAATCGTGCTCCCGCTGCAGCGCTGGCCTCATTTCCGTGCTTCCGCTCGTTCCGAATCGTGCTCCCGCTGCAGCGCTGGCCTCATTTCCGCGCTTCCGCTCGTTTCGACTCGTGCTCCCGCTGCAGCGCTGGCGTCATTTCCCGTGCCATGCCACGGCATGCAATGCAATGCTAGGTTGATGCTACGCTTTGCGGTGCTCTTCTACGCCATGCCATGCCGTGCTCTACAATGCATCGCGTACCCTTTCGGGATCATTGCCCTGCTCGACATCCGACTGTGCGAGTAGAGAGGGGATCTACGCCATGGTAAGGGATGGGAGGGAGGGGTAGGATGTCAGATATGACGCGAGCGCACCTAGCTTGCCCTCCCCCCTCCCCCCCTCCCCCCCCCCCTCCTCCCCTCTCTGCCTCCCCTCCCCCCCTTCCCCCCTCCCCCCCTGGAGTGGATCTCGGCCGTGTTTTGGCGCCTGTTCCGAGCGGATGGAGCCCCCCCCCCCCAGCATGAACGCCCTGTCGCAAAGAGTCCCGTGAAGCAGAGGTCCAGGGCCAAATCCCCCCCCCTCCGGCCCTTTCCGCCCGATGTCTAAACGCCGGATAAAAAACGCTCACGTGGGGAGGTGGGCTTGGGGCATACTTGGACTTGGCCCCTCCGACACGGGCCAGGGCCTTCTGGATGTTCCACTCTTCGGACCGCCCCAGCAGTCAGCGACGTGGTCAGTTGCCCGCCCAATGTCTCTAGCAGCCCAGTTTCAGCTTGGACAACGAGTTTTTTTTACAACCGCATGGGAAAGCCTCATGAACATGGCGCCTGCGTTCACCGGGCCTTCGACTGAGAACTCATTGGTCCCCCACTTCCGAGCTGCCTGCATGCCGGCCAACAAAAAGACTGCGCCTTGTCTGGCACTCCTCGGAGCAAGGGCGGCGGAGAGGCAAGACACTGCTGGGCGAGGTCGTGCACGCCGCTCGCATCCACTCGCCTGCACGCGCGCAAGATGGTACGAATATTTTTCCTAAGCTGGATAATGCTGAGGGTCCCCTGCTTTACATATGGCTTGAACGAGGGGGGTAGGGTCCACGG